AATCCAGAGCCTGTGCCTCCGCCAAAGCTGTGGAAGACCAGGAACCCTTGAAGGCCACTGCACTGGTCAGCCTGCAGTAGAAGAAAGAGTTTGACTCCTGTTCCCTTCTTGAGGGCTGGGATTTAGAGCACCATGTTTATGAAACCATCATTGAGACAAGGCACAAGTGATACATTTTTAGTCCTCACTTACAGTTGCCAGTGAGAGAGGTGAAACATGCCATAGATCGCCACCTCAGGCTGCGTGGGCACAAGTCACAGCCTACCCTGGACAAAGTTCAGCCAACACAGCTAGTGAAGCAGACCCTGCTTCTGTGTCAAGTTTAGTGTATTTATTTTTTAGGGGGTTCACCTTTAGTGTAGGCAATATGCCAGCAGGTGAGTGGGGAGCACGGTAAGAGGGATACCTGTTCAATAGCTTGTCCCAAGCATTTTGGAGAAATGTTTTTATGAAGTTCCCATGCATGACAGGCCCAAACCTAGAAGCTCAACTACTGGGTCACGTTATTCCAGGAGACTTTCAGCTTCTGTTTTAGAGAGTTCCTAGCCCTTGTGGTGGCTTGGAAGCATGAGCCAAGTGTCACCAGTGCAATGCTGCCTGCCTGAGTCTGAGACACGAGCTCTAAGCAGTGTGAGGGGTCCTATGCATCTCAGTGGAGCATTGGTTCCCAGATCCATTCCCTGGGGGGCCCAGCCATCCCCACCTACAGCAGAGGAGTGTGGTCAGGGCAAAGAGTGCCCAGCCCATCCACTCTGCCCTCATGGCCACACGCTGGGAACCTCCAAGCCATAACATACCTCACCGGTGGGATACACAGGCACTGATTGGCTGCTAGGGTACATACTGGACCCCTACAACCATTCAGTGTGTGGTTGGGAGAGACTGGACCCCACACTTCTGCTTCTAAGGGGATGGGTGGGAAGGGAGCCACTGCCTTTCTGTGATGGGAGCAGGGACCTGTGCTCCCTCCTGAGGGGAGTGGGTTTCTAGGGGAATCTGTCCCTTAGCACCAGCAACGTAAGCTCAGGATGAGACGCATGAAGACCCAGGGTTTGAACTCTGCAGCCAACCCACGCAGCAGAGCTATGCCAGGCAGTGCCACACCAAACACTTACAAAACGGATTTTCCTACTTGCCATTTTGCGAATCCTGGCCGATACGTTATCAATGATTTCCTTCCCAATGGTGTAGTGACCTCGGGCGTAGTTATTGGCTGCATCCTCCTTGCCTGTGATGAGCTGCTCCGGGTGGAACAGCAAGCGGTAGGTCCCCGTGCGGATCTCATCTGTGGGGGGAAGTCAGACCATAGAGTGAGATATCTGCAATCTACCAGGATTAAAATGGAGCTGCTATTAGACAAGAGTGTGAGAAGAGGCGCATAAACTGCCAAGGCAACTAAGCAAAGTCACAGTGGGTTAAACCAAGGGTAGGTTAGGCCCACACAGTAGGTTTCATGAGACCCAAGTGTGATGTCGCACTCTATAATGTTTCATGGAAATATGCTTGAGTGCAAATATGATGTAACTGAAATATGCTTTATGCAAAAGATCTCTTGTAAGGCATCATTACAAAGCTTATAATCTACGGAGTGTGTTCATCCTATTTGTATGAATGTATCATTCTTATATCTGAAACTAGGAATATGAAGTATAACTCTGAGGTCCTGTGGTAATTATGCAAAGTGTGGGCCATTAATGGTGGTCTAGAATCTTGATGGCTCCCATGGACTACGACAATTGGTTGTAAATTGTTTATTTACCCGCAAGCCTTCCTGTATACCTGCAGACCAGCCGTGGAAGAATAGAGGGGGTCTCACAGGACATGTGAACATGTCACCTGATACTGGAATCCATCTTAAACCTGGTGCTTTTCCATTTAGAAGGACGGGTGGGGACCCAGTGAGACAAAGGATTCCCACCTTGTGCCAAAGCTATAAAGGGGGTGGAACAGAACAAAAGGGGTCCCAGTCCTGAGAAAGCCCCTGCTTTTCTCCTAAGACACCTGCTGGAACTAACCAGGACTGTACCCAGGGAAAGGATTGGGCCCAGACTAGGAAGGAGTCTAGTCTGTGAAAGAAGCTTATTGGCCCATCTGAGGGTGAGATTTACCTGTAACCAGTTTCTTAATGTAGTAGGCTTAGACTCGCATGTTTTGTTTTATTTTGCTTGGTAACTTGGTTCTGTCTGTTATTACTTGAAACCACTTAAATCCTACTTTTTATACTTATCACTTTTGTTTATTAATTAACTCAAAGTAATTAATACCTGGAGGAGCAAACAGCTGTGCATCTCTCTATCAGTGTTATAGAGGGCGAACAATTTATGAGTTTACCCAGTATAAGCTTTATACAGAGTAAAATGAATGTATTTGGGGTTTGGATCCCATTGGGAACTGGGTGGCTGGGTGCTGGAGATAGGTGACCAGTGGAGCTGTTTTCACTTAAAGCCTGCAGCTTTGGGGCATGGACCAGACCTAGGTCTGTGTTGCAGCAGGCTAGCATGTCTGGCTCAACAAGGCAGGGTTCTGGAGTCCCAAGCTGCCAGGGAAAATGGGCTCAGAGGTAATCTCAGCACGTCAGGTAACAGTCCCAAGGGGGTCTCTGACTGAAGCCATCACACCAAGCTGCTTGGATGCTACAGCAATGAGTCCACCAGGAGACCCTGAATGAGAGGGTTAAAACTACTTTAAGTGACTTCCGGGAATAATTCCCCTATCAGACACCGCAGCTTTGTGCTAGCTCATGGGAGCTGGGAATTGTCCCTGTTGAGGGCCTTGCAGGAGGTTGCAGCGTTCAGTTCCTGTGCTCTGAAGAGGTGTAGTAACAAGCACAGAGATATTCTTCTTAGAAGCGACCCTGTGTCTCAGATCCCGCCCCATGTTCCCCTCCACGGGTGTCACTCCCTCCCCAATGCACATGAAAGAGGAGAATGCCAGCCCTTTGGAGGCCATGAGGTAGGTTTGTGTTTGCACATGGGGCAGCCACGTGTCTCCAAGCCCAGAGACTGTCCCCATTGTCAGGGTCTGTTCCACTGTCCCCTCTGACTTCTCAGAAACATTTCAGCGTGGCAGGTTCAAGCCAGCTGAGCTAGTGACACTGTGCCCAGCCTGGATATGGACCTTGGGGAGGAGATCTAGGATACGAACCAGCAAGAGCATCCCTCCACCAGGCTGGCCAGCATGAGCTTCCTTCACCATCTGCATTCTCTGCTCCCCACTCCCACATAGTGACCCTTGCACATAGGGAGGAGGGAAGAGAAATTGCTTGGGTGAGAAAGGCACTAGCCACTGCCACAACCTTCCTGTGCCCATTTCCCTGACCTCACCCAGGGAGGCTCATCCCAGCGGGACACTTTGGGAGACTGGTCTTCATTGATGAAGAAAGCATCATGTTTTAAACAGAGGTCCTGCAGTCCAGCAGCATCCCTTTAATATTGAACATCCACTATTTGAATGAAGGCCTATCAGCTACACCCTCTCTAGAAGTCTGGTGAGCAGGGCTGGATTAATACAGGGGCTTTAGGGGCTGCAGCCCAGGGCCTCAGGGTAAGGGGAGCCCCACAGAAATAAATCCATAATTATATACAATTTAGTGGTCACCAGCTCATCGATTGTGATCGACTGGTTGATCCCAGAACCTCTGCCAGTTGATCACAGTCTCTGGGCTGCTAAAAGTTCCGCAGTGCAGCAGGGCTCAGGCAGGCTGCCTGCATGCCTTGGCCCCACACCACTCCCATGGCTGCTGGCATGTCTCTGCACCCCCTGGTGGGGCAGGGGGGTTCCATGCAGAGCCCCCAGCACCATCCCTGCAGGCAGCGCACAGAGACACTGTCCCTCTCCCCTGGGGGTGTGCAGAGATCTACCAGCAGCCAGCTGCTTCTCGGAGCGGCATGGAGCTATGGCAGGCAGCCTGCCTGCGCCCTGCTGAGCTGCCAGCCAGGAGCCACCTGTGGTAAGCGCCTGCCGGCCAGAGCTTGGATAGTGCCGACAGACCCTGGGCGCCGGTGGGCAGGATCGAACCAGGGACCTCCGGAGCTTAGTGCATGAGCTAAAAGCCAACTGGCTGTTAGCAAAGGCTGTAGAGCAGTCTCATTAATCTCTAAGTGGTCTCGGTGGCTCTAGATGGGACAGACCACCACACCCAGAAGGTGTGGGGGTTACACATGCACCTCACACCCCCTCCTGCACCCCATCCCCCTGCCCCAGGTCAGAATCCCCTCCTGCACCAAGCCCCCTCCCAGAGCCCACACCTCTCACCCTCTCCTGCACCTCAACACTCTGCCCCAGCCTGCCCCCAAACTCCCTCCCAGAAAGAAACGAATACAACAGCTGTTCTAAGGTAAGAAGTAGGCTATTTTGAATTAACTGAACTATATTCGACATGTTTTAAGACTGAAATGTAACCACAGAACAGCTTTATGTTAATTAAAAGGCAAGTTTAGTATAAAGTTAATAACCTTGATGCCATAATTGTGATTTTTGTTTTAAGTTAGGAAAAGACTTGTATACAGGGGCCCCACCAAATCCAATAGCCTCAGGCCCACAGGAGAATTAATCTGGCCCCACTGGTGAGGCTGGGAAAGGGATGGGGTGGAGCTAGCTCATTGCCTGATTTGACCCCAGTAATCTGGAAGGCCATTCTCCCAACCCTGCAAGTGTTTGCAGTTTGGGATGGAGAGGACATGGCAAGATTGACAGTCACACTGTACGTCAAGGAGATTCAGCCATGTCAGTATCTTACCAATGACTGTTGGCTCCAGGTCTATGAACACGGCTCTGGGAACATGCTTCCCTGCTGCAGTCTCACAGAAGAAAGTCTCAAAAGAGGAATCCACTTGTTCACTTGCCTTTGGGGCAGGAATGGTCCCGTCTGGTAGGATTCCATGTTCTAGGCAATAGAGTTCCCAGCAGGCATTGCCCATCTGGACTCCAGCCTGGCCCACATGGATGGAAAGACACTCCCTCTGGAAAGAGACACAGGCTGTATGTGCCACGCACACAAATAACAGACCTAGACAACCTCAACCCTGCATCAGTGGGACCTTCTACCTTGCAGGATCAGGATTCATTTTCAGTAGGAAGGATAAAATTCCCATATTCTCCCTTTTTCTAGAGAGACTTTAAACATCACCCTGAAGTCTTTTGCTAGAAGTCTATTCTCCTCTGACCCCTCCATGACTGGTTTGTTATTGTAGGGTGCCCAGGAGTTCTGCCCCACACAGTTTCCCTCCCCCTAGAGGGGGCAAGTGAAGAATCTGTTTGAGGAAACAAAGCTACTTAGGGAGCTGTATGGAGAAGTTAAGCCAGCTTGAGACTCAGTGACCATCTCTACCACTTTGGACGGAGTCCAAGAGAAGCAGTTTGTGCCTGTATTTAACATTGGCATGTCCATAATGGAGCTGTATGGAATGAACAGGACCTCTCAGACAGCCAGGTCAGTAGCACAGTAACATGCCAAGTCCAAGGGACTCATTAGTGGCCTGTCTAATGCTGTGGGGAAGTACTTTAGCTCAGAAGCCACGGCAGCTGATTTCAATCAGGATCAAGGGTTAACTGGATCATACACTTGGCAAGACCAGGGAAGCTTGTGTCAGGGACACCGACGTGCCAGGGAAGAACCTTATTCTAGGAAAGTGCAATAGCTTGAAGGAATCACACCCACCCCTGAACATCCTGCATTTATACTTCACTAGAACACAACCTTTAGTGTATGTAGAGGGCCAGCTACTAGAGGGGAAAAGACTAATACTATCCCCCACCTCCCCAGTCAACTGAATTGCTCCTTTAGCTTAAGTGGTAGGAGGCTATGCTTTGGGGATCTTCAAGCCTCAAGGTCAAATCCCAGGTCAAGGGTCCTTTCAGCCATACACAGCCAGAGAAGTTTCATATTCTTATCCTGAGAAGTTCTCACTGAGGCAACAGGCCAAAGGGGAAAAAGCAAGCCAGTCAACTGAAAGCTCCTAGACTTTAATGGATTATACCATCCTAGGCAGCATTTGATCAGGTCTGAAAGGGAAACTAGATATCAGAGGTAAAGCTATACTTATAAGGAACACTTCCTGCTTTAATAAGTCACAAGCCCTTCCAAAAACAAAAAGCACCCCCCAAAAACCCACCGCTTGCATTAGCATCCCAAGAGACAGTAGCAAAGCACATGTCACCAGAGACTTCACAATCTCCAGCCTGTTCACAAGCTGACCCACAAAACCTCAGCTGTAGACACCTACCATAGCAATTGAGTCTAAGCACTTTCTTAGCGGCAGTTTCTGATGGCTCTCCTGCTGTAGCTCACTGGAACTTTATAGCCTGCTTGCAAGGGGCCCCACCTGAAGCTGCTTGCAAGTTTAAAGCTACGGAGCCCCTTCTTGGGGGGTGTCCGAGACATTAAACCCTCTGTTGTACTCACAGGGGTGCGGTGCTTAGTCCATTCTCCTAGGTGTTGCCTTCTAAGACAAATTGGATGCTCTTGGGATGACGGATGCTCCGGTGAGAGTAACTAGCCTAGGCCTTGAGAGATGCCTGTTCCAGCACAGGCTTCCTGTGGGACTTTGGGCAAGTCACTCAGGCCCCAGATCCTCCGAGGGATTTAGGTGCCTCATTGCTTTCAATGGGCGTTAGGTGCCTAAATCTCTTTGAGGATCTGGGCCCTTGTGTCTCTTGGCCCTCTGTACAATTGGGATGAGAGCCCTTCCCTCTCACACCGAGGGGCTGTGAGAAAAATACACTAAGGATTGGGAGGTGCTCGGATACTACAGTATTGATCCTGCGACTGCTACCAGCAAATATCCCCAACGGCCCGCGATGGGACACTAGATGGGCAGGGCTCTGAGTTACTGCAGAGAATTCTTTCCCTGGTGTCTGGCCAGCGGCTTGCCCACATGCTCAGGGTCTAACTGATCACCATAATTGGGGTCAGGAAGGAATTTTCCCTGAGGTCAGACTAGCAAAGACCCGGGGGAGGGGGGGCGGTTCAGGGGTTCACCTTCCTCTGCAGCCTGGAGCATGGGTCACTTTGAGCAGTTCTCAAACTGTGGGTCGGGACCCCAATGTGGGTCGGGACCCCGTTTTAATGGGATCGCCAGGGCTGGCTTAGACTTGCTGGGGCTCAGGGCCAAAGCCAAAGCCTGAGGGCTTCAGCCCTGAGTGACAGGGCTCAGGTTACAGGCCCCCTGCCTGGGGCTGAAGCCCTTGGGGTTCAGCTTTGGCCCCCTGGCCTGGGGTGGTGGGACTTTGGCTTTGCCGTCCCCCGCCGCCAACCCCCCGCACCCGGGGTGGCGGGGATTGGGCAGGCTCAGGCTTCAGTCCCCCCCTCCTGGGGTCCTGTCGTAATTTTTGTTGTCAGAAAGGGGTCGTCGTGCAATGAAGTTTGAGAACCCCTGCACTAGAGGATAACAGCCTGCTACTGCTACTGGTTAGCAGAGTTACTCCTTTATCTCCTGAGGGGAGGACTATGCTATAGTAGTGAAGTACAGACTGCTGTGGCGGGTTACCTAGCCTCACTTTTGAAACCCTTAGATACCCTAAAACCATGGGGTTAAATCTCAGTAGCACTGATTTAGCCCTCGGAGGATAAATACATTGGCTATGAAAGGAAACAGAATGACCTAGAGGACCAGGCACTGGACTGGAACTCAGGAAACATGCATTCAATTCCTGGCTCTGCCAATGCTCTGCTGGGTGAGCTTGGACAAGTCACTTCCCACCCCGTGCCTCAGTTTCCCCATCTGGCAGATGGGGATATAGTAATCGTTCTTTGTACGGTAACAGACAGAAACAATCAAAGAACCAGACAGAGACCATACAGACAAACAATAGGGAAGTGGGGACCATAAAGATAAAACAACAAAGAAATGGGGATTTCACAACCACAACTCTTGATAAGTGGTTTCTTGCCAGACAGAATGCTACCAGCCTAAGTTGTCTTTAACTCTCTTAAGATCTGTTTCTTTATCTGGTGATGATGGGTGCTATTAGGACAGGATCGCCTTCTTATCAGCCCGATATTACTTTGTTTTAATGTCATTTAGATGGAGTGTGAGGCGGTAACTTCCTGTTTCTTAGCTAATGGCTGGTGCTCTCTTAACATGGCTGCAGACAAAGGCCTTAGGCCTTACAATATGGCTACAGGACAAGGCCTTATCCTTGCAGAAGGATGGCCTTGTGGTTAAGGCATTTGTCTTGCCTATAAGAAACCTCAGTTCAATTCCTAGCACCTGCCCTTGACTAACTGTGGGATGTTAGGCAAATCCCCTTTTCTCTGTACCACCCTCATCGCTGTGATATCTGAGCCCCTTCCAGCAGTGCCTGCAGCTAACATCCGTCACATGGGCTTTGCTCTTTCTGCTCCCAGGAGGAGGACTGTGTTGAGTGTACTGTGGTGGCAGGATTTTTTTTTAATGCCCATGTTTGGTAGAGGAGGCAATGTTGGGGAACAGCTAAAACACCCAGGCCCTCACTAAACGACCACCTTCTAATGCAACAGGCCAGCGTGCTGACAAGGCTTTTTACTGATTTATAAGCATAAGTGCTACATTTTGTTTCCCACCTTACAGCAAGGTCGAAGAAATGCACCTTGCGCTCGGAGAGGAAGGGGATGAGGCTTGTGATGGCCCTCAGCTCCGAGGAGGATTCATTCTACAGTCTCACAGACCCAGTCCCTGAGAAAGCTCTTCCTCCTGCACAGATGAGCTCCACCCTGGTAACTGAAAGTTGCATGGCACCAGAGGAGTGGAGCTATCAACTAAACTATCAGCTAGGTTCCTCGTCCTGGAGGGCTCTTCTAGATACACTGGGACCAGCTCATGGAGCACCATGAAGATAAAGACTGAGCCTTCGAACTTGACTCAATATTCTATGGGAAGCTAGTGTAGCGAGCAGAGGGCAGGTTGGATGTTCTCACACCAGCACTCCTCCCTTAGGTGGAGTTTCCTGAGGGCTGATGGCTTCATACCCAGGTCCCCATCTAAAAACTGGAGATAAAGATGCTTCCGTGCTCCCACCCGATGGCTGTCTTTTCAACTTAGATGGTAAGCTCTTAGCGGCAGAGATGTTCTTGGATATGACATACAAGAGGGCCACTAGGAGGTACTACAATGCAAGTAATCACCCATTCACAGTCAATTTTATTTCAGGCTGATGAGCTTCAGAAGTCCTAGTCTGAGAGTAACCAGAAAACACACCCTGCATGGGAGGAAAGCCTGGGGTCAGACACATCTGAAGGCCTGAAATAGTCAACTCCAAAGTAAGCTTAGATCAGCCTTATTAGTCATGCTGAAGACACTACGGAATCATCCCCCTTAGTCTAGGACTTGGAACTGAATGACAAAAGGGGGATGATTCCTGGGAAGATAGTGTAGGAACTGAGGGTGACCGAATACACCCCTGTATTCACGCCCTAAATCCCATGGTAATAATCTTTGCACAAAATGTGCCTTGTGAGGTATCATTTGAAAACTAATAACTCACCGGTCAATAATATCATGATGAAATGTGTGTAGCAACCTTAGATGTAAAGTTATGAACAGAAGCTGAAATCATGACTGAAATGTGTTTACCAGACAAGTCAGGAGACGGGGTGAACCTGTTTCTCAAAGACAAAGGACAAGCAGACCCCTCTAGCCAGGTGTCGTCAGAGATGACTGGCAATCGTTGGTCAAGAGGCCATTCTTTGGCAAAGAACGGGAGCAGGAATAGATTGATCTGCATTTTAGCAAACAACAACATGGAACCTCTATCACTGTGAGACTCCATGTCTCCATTCTCACAGCTGGAAGGAGCTTTATCCAGGGGTAGCCCTCAGGGAAATGCATTTCAAAGGGTGACTGGACTGTAAAAGGGAGGGATAAAACCACCCCCAGGTTATCTTTTTTTCTTCTGCCTCTCTCCTTCTCTCTTTCACCTACGAAGACAAGGGAACCAGCCTTTTGAATTTGTGGGGGGATCCTGTCTTGAGATTTTGGGTCATCAGTGTTGCTGGGAACA